ACCAATATTGCCATTGTCGACTACGGCCGTTGGTTTTATAAATAACAACACTTAATTGCACACAAAAATGCATACATGTTGCTGGCTGAACGCATATCGAAATTTCTATTAGCGATTTAATGACTGCTGTCTTGTTGTCTGTCTTATTCATATTGTTGTTGTGTTATTGTATTGTTGTTGTTTTATAAATTCTTTAAAAATTTTTTTGCTCATGAACAAGCATGCAGTCTCGTATTACGGCCCACTGTCATTTGTTGATAGACTCACTTGTCGATTGTTGCATCGAACTCCCTACACGCCGTTTGTTGCTAATCTCTGTTTTGATGTGGGCGTATTAAATGACACAATTTTTCTTTATTTAAATTTGACGTAGTCAATAATTTTTCTTGTTTGTTTATGTCTGCAATTGAAAATTTGAATTTTGATTGATTCATAATTGTGTACTTTATTTATTTCACCTTGAACTTGAACTTGGAAGCCGCCTACAATTTCAACTAAAATCACTTAATTTTATTGCTCAACATGTTTATAACGAATTTACGAACATAGAAACATTTTGAATGGTAAGATAATCTAACTGTAAAATGATGGCATTGATTTAAATAAATTTTTTAATTTCTTTATTTATGAAATATATAAAGTATATTAAAAAAAAGGGGTAAGTAATTTATAGTGAATAATAAATACAATATAAAAGTATATAAAATTATATTTATAGTAGTAGTAGTAGTAGTAGTAGTAGTAATAGTCTATTCTTTACTAATAATTGAAAAACAAACAATAATTATTGATACTTTATATATTATTTACTTAAATCTATGAACTAATGTCATCAGGTTTACCTAGCGATTGTCTACTCATTTTAACCTTCTAATCTTGTTAGGAGTGTGATAGCATAATTTATAAATATTATTGATATTCATAAGTTATGCACCAGCTCTCATCTATAATTAGTTGTCTATACTTTAAGGCTTGGTTAAGATGTACGCATAAATTCAGCCAGTTTATTCCATTAAGAACACTGTCCAATTCCGTTCTGCTTAAGGTCGTTTTTCCAAAATACTTATCCGTTATTTCCTTTAAAATTGGCCAGATTACGATAAAGTGATTAACGTATTCCGTTTCTTGTTTATTGCATAGACATCAAACCGATAGTGCACAACATACATAGGGCAAGTAATAGAGTTTGATGAGTTCGGTACGAGTTTTGAAAATTGTACGAGTATTTTCCACTGCAAATATATCTTTTAAATAATTCGATATCACTAGATTATAAATCAGTTCTATATATGTTTCTCTAGAGTAGCTTGTTTTGGCCCTATAAACAAATCGGCCTCTATCAACTTGATCTCGTTTTAGAAAATTGCATAATTATATATATATATATTGTATATTATAATATTAAATATATATTATAATATTATATATATATTATAATACTATATATATGTTATATATTATAATATTATATATATCATATATTATAATATTATATACATTATATTTTTTTGTACATTTTTGAAAAAAATTTTCTCTATTGAAACAATTTTAATCCAGTATATATTAATCATAATTAATTATGGCTTCTTACTATTTTCCGGGTCATTTCATAATACCATCAATGTATAACCTCTGTGCTTTAATGGCGAAAAACTTAACAAAGTGATTTTCAACGGCTCTTTGATCTTCTAATTTTTCCGATCATCCGATCATGCAAGATCCAGACTATAAGGTGGATGCATAAAAACTTCTCAATCAAGTTCCAAAAATATATTCACAGTCGGTAAAGATGTCTGCAGTGTGGCATTACCATGATTGAGCATAATTTTGTTTCTGTAGGCCAATTCTGGTAGCAGTTTCTTGATTGTTTTGTTCAAGTGATCAAATTGTAAACTTTCCAACCAAATCCAGTCAATATATTCCGAGTTATCAAAAATATGTATGGTGTGGCATTGTCATAGTAAAATATAACTCCTTGTCTGTTGGCTAATTCTGATAACTTTTTTTTTAATAGTTTTATCAAGCCAACAAGTTGTAAATTTCCCCAATTAAGTCCCGTCAATATATTTCAAGTCATCCAGAATGTGTGTGTCTAGGCATTATCATGTTTTTTAGCTAATTTTGATCACTTTTCTTTGATTGTTTCGTGTAAGCGATGAAGTTGTGAACAGTTAAGGATCGAATTAATCAAGCAGTAGTAGCTCGTAACAAACATAACCCTGTTGGTTGTTGATTCAGGCTTTGAAATCGTTGATTTCCTTCAAAAGTACCTTACTTTCGTAACACTTGTGCACAACTTCATTGATGGTAATTTAGTTAATAAAACTTCTTTTCGTTAATTCATGTAATATCCAAATATTGAGCATCTGTGCCTAAATTGCTCTTTTCAAATGATATCAAACTCTCATGTTGTTGGTCTTTAGTGCCTTTGCTATCTCCTAATAGCTAGCATGTCGATCTTGCTCCACCAAACGCAAAATTTTACGGACCTTTTGAATGTTAAACCATCCATAGCAGCCTGCACATATAATATCAAAATTTTCCAAACGGTTTCAAGCAAAATACTCTTAGGTTCGGCGGTCGCTCACAGCATCCACTCCGTAAACAGTACAAATTTTTAAAGCAGTTTCAAATTTTTTTTATAGTAATAAAGCGATATATTAACTTTTTCAACGACTAATGAATTACACAACTGCTTTCACAAATAAATATAGCCTGAAATGTCACCTGTCAAACTAAATAGTTGTTGTCATAGATGTGGGTACCAAGAACGTCTGATCATAGAAATCACGCTAAACGATAAATACAACGATCTCGTCATGCAATTAAAATATTATATTAAAATAAATGTTTACAGATGTCAAGTCAACAATTTCGTTTTTATATACTATGTCAGTTAAACTGCTAGAGAATTATAAATGTAAAAATTTAAAATTATAATTCTCTTTTAGTTTAATTGAAATAAGATGTATAAGAACACATTTGGGACATTGAAAGACATTTTTATTATAATGTAGTTTATAAATTTCTGTTGCAAATATTTTGTTTTTTTATAATCAATTATGAAATATAAAAACTTATAACTAAGATAAGAAGAACGAACGCTAACTTCCAGGACCTTTGGTTTGGCATTACAAATAAAACATCTTTATCGTTGATCATTTCTCTGTGACACTAAATCATTTTTTTATTCTAAATGTATAATGACAAAAAACGTCGAATTTTTTACCTAATACTTATTAAAGCACTTTTTAAAACAATAACATTTATTTACGGAGCTTTATTTATGTATATAGTAAAATCAATTTATGACTAAAGACAACTTTTATAAATAAAACTTTTATACTTCTATTGCGAAAACTTTTTATTTTTTTTAAATTAAATTTAAATTATAATTTTAAGTGTTGCATAAAATTAAAGTCCTTGAAAAAAATTAATTAATTTAAAACAAAACAAACTAAAAAAGTTCTACTTCTTACCTCGAATAACAATCACCGCAGAATATCAAAATCAAATTTTAAGAAAAAATTGCGAGCAAATTTACTAATTTTTGTTTCTGACAGAAACTAATTAGAAAACGACCGAAACTCACAGTATAAAAAAAAATTGCTATCAATCAAAATTATAATAAACTCTAAAGAATATCCCACTGATGTCGCTTAGCCTTCCTAAAGTGCAGCTGTGCAACGTAGGATGTTTCTTTTTTTTCAGTTTTTATAAAACTTTTTTTATCTGTATAGATAAATTTATGTGGGACTTTATAGTTATATAGGACTTATAGCGTTTATATTCACTATAAACGCTGGAAGATTTCTTTGGACCAGTGTATGAAAAGAAATCATATGCGATGGGTGTATTTTCAATATAAACTAAGACACAAGCTTGTCTCAAGTAAACATTTAATCTAAAACTTGTCCCAACAATATCCTTTAATTTCTAAATTAATGTCCTGTGACATACATGAGTTTGGATATAATCCCAAGGACAAAAATTCAAGCTTAAAAACTATACTATAAATATGATCTGAGAGTATCACGAAGATTAGTTAAGTCATTAAAAAGTGATTGAGTAACGAACAGCCGAAGAAACGATTATATATATATAGATATAAGAGTAGTTGTTCTTATAAAATGGTTATGAGTGCAAAAAATGTTTATTTTTATTATTTCTCTATAAATTTGACGCCCACGGTCTGCTTTGTTTTTGCTGTGATAAATATCTCATGCCTCAAACTTATATCTTTTTTATTAATATTGACCGAATGTGGAGATTTTTGCATAAATTTTTCTAAATCGTAAAAATCAAAGAATGTTTCGTTTGAAAGCCACACCCATGTCTATACTCCAATAACGAATGATTGATGTCCTCAGGCTTTGCTTGAAACCCACTGACAGTCCGACAGTCAACGCATTAAACATGTTTAATTGGTTAATTAAAAATACTTTTTATTTTTCAAAAATTGACTATTTTTCAAAATATATTTCATCGCATAAGCAGAACTGAACTGAAAGTTGTTTTCTGGCTGAGTTCAAATTATGCGCAGCTGTGAGTCTGCAGTGCGTAAATTAGTGAAACCGCGCCAAAATTAATTACCGCAGCCCAAGTCATGTTAAAACGCTCTGAAATCGCGTCAAGAACGTCTAAATTGTTAATGGGAAATAATTAAAAATATTTGCTAATCAAACCAGTTAGAACGAATACAATCCCAGCTAAATCTGTTAATGAATAAAATCCAAAAAGATTACTTAATTAAATTTTATTTAAAATCTCATCAAAACAAATTTCAAATTATCGTCAAAAGGTTCTGAAAAAAAAACGGTGGGTGTTATTCAGAGAATATTTCTAAAGAATTACACTTTTGGGTAGTTTTTCAAAGCGATCAATAAAAGCCCACAGGTAGAGTTTAACTAGAAATTCATTCAAATAAACTTAAATTATATAATTTTTTTTAATTATAATTTATTATTTAGTTAACATTATTTTTTCTTCTTCTCTTACAGTTGCTGTAATCATTAAGCCATGTTAACTTAACAAATCCGAAAGAGTAAATTGAATATCAACGCGCGCTACCGGAATTCATAATCGATTTATCTTCACCAAGTTATCAAACAAACAAAACATTTTTTTTTAATTTTATAATTAAATAAATTTATTTAAAATTATACAAAATTCGATAGCAAAAGATATACTTTGCTTTGAAGTGAAATTTCAACACCTTAACGCATTGCAACTGGGGCAAGATGCATTTCTTGCTGATTATCTTAGCTTTAGGTAAGCCATTAATGCACATTTGAATTTTTAATTTATTTTAAACTCATTTCTTTCGATTATCTTATCTATCTTAACGATGGACTTGTTTTACAAATATCAACTGCCATACACTAACTTGCCTCCAATTAATTACTGGTTCATAATTAATTATTTATTTTCAGTTTCAACCGCATTTACTGCGGAATATCACAGATCAGCCGCTTCGGCTGGTGTCAACTTTGTTGGAGATAATGGCAATGGCATTGAAAACACACTAAACAATGTTGAGGAGAAACCTCGCAATCGTCGCATATACGCACTCTGTCCACCCAAATTTCAACGCATCGGTACTGAATGCTATTATATGCCAGAAGAGCAAAGAATTTGGTTGGAGGCACACTTCTTCTGCAAGGATAAGAACTCAAAATTAGCAGAACCAACCAAATATTCAGATCGCAAACTAAATATGTTTTTGCAACAACATGACAGACAATCAAATGGTATTTACATTCAATAAATAAATAAATTTAATTTCAAATTTTAATAATAAATTTTAATAATAATAATTTTAATATTTTATATTAGCATATGGAGGGTATCCTGATCCTATTTGGCTTGGCTCTACATACGATTGGCTTACTGGAGTTTGGCAATGGAGCATAAGTGGCAAAAACCTCACATATGACGCTTTCAGTCAAATGGACCCTGAGTAATATACATTCACTTTCTATATTTAAAATTTTTATTTCAAGGCTTTAATTGATGGTAGTCTAGAGATAAAATTATTTTATATGTAATGTGATTAATATTTAATTTATATTAAGTTAAATTATAAAATAATTTATTAAGCCCTGTAGACAAACGTTTCAGTAGTTCGTATATATGGTAATAAAATCGTAAGGGCAGCAATCACATTATTATAATTTAGAAGATTATTTATATTTCTTATCATTTAAATTCCTATGAAAATCTTCTAAGATCGTATATGTGTAGTAAAATCCTAAGGGGAGCAATCACATTATTATAACTTAGAATATGGGGCTCGTTGTAATGTTATGTTGAAACCAAAAATCTTCCACATCCATACCTTCAATTTAACGCTAAAACAAATGTGGCATCTTTTGGTTTACCTTAACCATTTTCGAAAAAAGTAGTGGCTCATCACACCTCCACACAGTTACGCGATGCTAAAAATCACACATGTTCAGTGGTTGTTAAACGACTCATACTGTTAAATGGTGAAATGTATACATATGATGTATTTCATATATGTGACAGGTATAGTGCTGCTCAACTAGGATCACCAAATAGATACTATTTCTCAATATTGTAATTCATAAACAACATAAGATTTTATTAGTTGACGTTACTGAGCTGAATATTGACTGAATACATCTAATTATTTTCTACGATATAAAGGACGTATCTTCCGAAATTTGTACATATTAATATATTTACATTAAATTGAAGAATTACAAAGTACATAACTATTAGATTTATTATAGTTCTTAAGAAGATATATTAAACCATATACCAATTAATTAGGTTAATAGTTTAACATTTAAGTACATAATCCATAAAGTTATATTTTTATTAATAATTAAATATAAAACATTAATGTATAAAACATAGTAATGTTTAATGTATAAACATATGTTTTTAAGTTTCTACTATTATTTCGAGATTTACTTATGAGCACT